TAAATGTATGTACTTGATTTCTGATTGTTTTCATTATGTAAATCTTTATTTAATTTAAAAAAAAAAATATTTTAATATTTTTGGGTGTCTGGAACGGATTAATTTTATTTCCATTATTTCTTACAGAGAAAAATGGTTTCGAGTTTCGTGAATTTCGACCTTCAGTGGGCTCTCCGGAACGGATTAATCACGAAACTCGGGGGTCCACTGTATTTGGTACAACGTGTTCGCCATGCTACATGGACACACAGCCTTCACTCCCAGGCAAAATAAATGAGTTGTATTTCCCACCGACTGCTCCTACAATAATAATGAAACTGAGGAGTTCTTTGGTTTCAAACATACAGTGGTACCTAGATATTCGAACTTAATCCATTCCAGGAGGCTGTTCGAATAGTGAGTTGTATGAATATTAAATAAATTTTTCCAGTAAGAAATAATGTAAACTGGATTAATCCATTCCAGACCCCCAAAAATTATCAATTATAAAACAATTTACATGAAAATATTGCTTACTTAAACCTGTATAATAATACATGAAAATTATAAAAACAATCTTTTTTTTTTTTTAACATGTTGGCCATTTCCCACCAAGGCAGGGTGACCCAAAAAGAAAGAAAACCCCAGAAAGAAAAATACTTTCATCATCATTCAACACTTTCACTCTTTCCAGAGGCACCCAGATACGACAGTTTAGATGTCCCTCCATACTGCCAATATCACAAACCCTTCCTTTAGAGTGCAGGCATTGTACTTCCCACTTCCAGGACTCAAGTCCAACTAACCGGACACCAATCTTCTTATTGTTTATCTTATTACTTTTCCTTTCATATCCATGGGGAAGTGGAATAAGAATCTTTCCTCCCTAAGTCATGCGTGTTGTAAAAGTCAACTAAAATGCCAGGAGCAATGGGCTAGTAACCCCGTTTTCCCATATAGCTTACTAAAAATATGAAGAAAAAACAATAAATACATGTAATAAATTAAAATTTAACTGCACTCTACTGAGGAGTGCTGATGGCCTAAGAGAAAGGTGGAGGTAACTCCCCGTCTAGTGTTTTTTTCCTTTTTCTGTCTCTGTGCAGTAGCACTTGAAGATGATGAGGACTCGCTAACATTTATTTTTTTTTCTTTGCTAAAGAAGCTGTCCAATGTTGCCTGCTTTTGATGACTTTTCAAAAGTTTTCTTAAGTGGTCAAGAATATTGTCATTGAATAGGCTGATGTTCCCATCCATAACAGTAATGTTAGGATACTGCTTCTTGTGCAGGTCTTGAAGTTCTTCTGTGGTTAGCCCATTCTTGTGATCCTCCAACTCTTCTACACCCTCATCGTCCATTTCCAAACCCATGGACTGGCCCAGAGAAACAATATCCTTCACTACAAAGCCTTTAAAATCTCTGACGGACACACAGTCTGGTCACAATTTCTTCCAGGCAGAGTTCAGAGTCCTGAAAGAAACTTACCCCCAGGCTTTGTCTATTATCCTTAAACATTGGAGGATATTAAAATGGTTTTACCAAAATTCCCTAAGGGTAAGCAGTGTTTCTGTGTAAAGTTTCTTAAAATTGGAAATTACCTGCTGGTCCATGGGTTGGATAAGAGGAGAGATGTTAGGGGGCAAGAACTTCACTTTATTGAAGCTGTATTCATCCACCAAATTTTCCTCCAAGCCTGGAGGGTGAGCAGGAGCATTGTCCATTACCAGAAGTGCCCTTAATGGTAATTTTTTTTCTGCAAGATACCGTTTCACACTTAGGGCAAATACTTCATACATCCATTCAGTGAAGAACTACCTTGTTACCCAAGCTTTACTATTAGCCCTCCACATTATACTAAGTTTACTTTTTATCAAATTGTTTTTCTTAGACACCCTTGGATTTTTAGAGTGGTAGACTGGCAACGGTTTAATTTTGCAGTCCCCACTAGGATTACCACGTGTTAGCCTGTCTTTCATGGGTTTGTGTCCTAGTAATGATTTTTCTTCTTGTGTGTAGGTTCTCTTAGGCATTCTTTTCCAAAAGCGGCCGGTTTCATCACAACTAACCCTTTCAGGGTCCAGAGGCCAAATTTCAAAGTGCACACCAGGGTCCAAGAATTTTCAAAAAATAATTTTTATTTTTTCTTATGAAATGGTAGAGAATCTTTTTCTGAAGGTAATAAAACAAAAAGTACGAAATTTGATGAAAAATTGACGAAATTATGCTCTCGCAAATTTTGACGTGTCAGCGATATTTACACATTGGCAATTTTGTCGACTTTGACTACCATTTTAGACCAATTACCTTATTCCAGTCGACCAAATTCTTATCTATTTCACTAGTATTGCTTCTATTCTATCAACTGAGCACAAGAAATTGCCAACTCAACTGTTTCAACTACAAAATGTGATTGGAAATTGGTAATTTGGCCAATTTAGTGCATAGTTCAAAATATGTATTCCAATTTCAAAATAGGGTCCAGAATAAACAATGCAGGCATTCCTGGCACTAAACTAACATTTTTCTCTGTTCATTAGTTACATTTTCAGGCTTTACAAATGAATTCCATTTTGATTTTTATTTACATAATGAATTTTTCTTCAAAACCAAAAAGTAGAAGATTTACTGTCATGCAATATTGTAATAATTGTATAAATAATATCAGCACATTTGTGAATGTATATTAGATCCACCAGCTGATGTGTAAGGTCATTTGCTTACTCTTGAACATCTGCAAAAATTTAACATTTCCCCTGCTTTGAGCTCAGTTTCAAGCCATTTTCAATACGAAAACCAATCAATATCATCTCTATTTCTGTAATATATCTTCCATTCTATCAAATGAGGCCAAAAAATCACAAATACAACTATAAAAAACATACGAAAAAACAATGCAAACTTGCTGTTTTAATCGAAAATTACGGTCTCAGTTTTTTCTCTCATTATGCACTGTTTGCTGCAGGATTTGTTTTATGTGGTGCACACATACCATATAGATGTATTCTCTCATATCTAGACCCAAATTTACTTCTCACAGCTTATCAGAGTGAGCTGAGCTCATGGCGTAGATCTACGGTTTGGACCCCCGACATGAAGCCATACATCTACGGCACGGACCCTGAAAGGGTTAAAAACTTGTTGAAGAATAAATCTCTCAATGTTTATGCAGGTTTTACATTCCTTAACAAACTTTTCAGCTTCATCTCTGCTAACCCTGGCAGCCTCCCCATACTTTACTATATTATAAATCCCACTCCTCTTTTTAACCTATTAAACCAACCCCTACTTGCCATAAATTCAACAGTTTCCTGAGGTGTCTTGCCTAAGATCACTACACAACTGCTTTGTTTTTTCAGATTATTGTTTCAGAAACACTGCAAGTAGCCAATTGTTTTTCATTAAACCATACTAACAAAAGCATTTCCATTTCTTCAATTACCTGTGACCTTTCAGAGCAAGAATTTTCACTCCTTTCACCACATCAGCCCCTTTTATTACCTCTTTATTTTTCAATAAGGATGATATTGTGAATTTCGCCATACCACATGAGTGGCCAGCTCCAACAAACATGTTTCACTTTCCCACTTCGCAATGAGTTCTTTTTACACTAACTGTCATTCTCACTGCTTTCCTTTTAGGCTTGTTTGGGTCACTACTCTCTTTTGGGGGCCAATGAAATACCAAAAAGTTTCACAGAGCTTGTACGAACAATGCTTAATGAGCAAAAGCTGATGAGAGACTGAGTACATGATGCTTTGTTTTTGTCAGATGTCCAGATGGACCATTTTGTTTAGGTTGAATATCAGGGCAACATCCAAATACCAAGTCAAATTTAAAAAAAAAAAAAAGTTAGATGAATATCGAGTTGTACAAATATTAGGACATATGAATACTGAGGTTCCACTGTATAATGACCGAAAGTGACACTCAGGGCATCACAAAAGAGACGTTATGTCTGTACACACACAATAAATCACCAAGCAAAGTGCAGACACATATTTAACATGTAGAGATGTGTAAAACACAGCTGTATATGGAGAAGTGTTTCAAGGTGTCCCACAGACTGCAACAGCTCTAGGAGCACTGTGAACAATAATAATGTTTTGTAAACACTGTACTGATGACACTATTAGTGCAGGTACTGTGTTACATACATCATATGGATATATGTTCATTGTGTATGATATGGGTCTCACGGGCCACGAAAGTTACTGGAAAATGTAAAAAGCTAGGAAACCCCTCCAGAAAGTACAAAATAATAATGTAGAAACATGTGGAGCGTGAGGCAATCGCTAATGTTGCTGTCAGTGGATCACTGACCTTCAACTTCATGGCTCTATATCTCCATAAGTACATGTACTGATAAGAAAAATTTTCTTTTTGTTTCATTACCTCCAGGAAAATAAACTCTTTCAATCTATATTCTTTTTTAAATTTAGACAAGGAGAGAAATTTCAATTTTGGGGGTCTGTAAAGTGAAAGCATTTGTGAGTAATACAAAACTTTTGAGAACAGTGCTTGTCTAGTGGACATGCTCTGGCTTAAATCCAGAGCTGACTAAAAAAAATTATGGTACATACTATCCAAATTTTACATTGGTCATAAACCATACTATCCAAATTTTACATTGGTCATAAACCATTAGTCATATTATGTGTATTATGGTCATAAGCCCAAAAACTAAGATTTTGGGGTTATGACCATAATACACATAATATTAAGATTTACATATGTGATCGAATTTTTTGGCTGCACTTTTTAGATCACATTGCAACAAAAATTATGCTATGTGAAATTGCATTATAACATGATTTACCATGTATGTATTTTTAAAATACAAGTCTACCATTGGTAGAGAAGAGGGGGAGATTTATTGCATTGTAAGAAAGAGTTCAAGGTATAGCATACCTTGCCAGGAGTTAAGGATGAAGAGTTTTGATATTAGGTGGGAAGAATGAACAGACTATTAACGTGACACATTGGCCGACTTTAAAATCCATAAAACATTGAACAAACCTACCACTGGGAGTCTTCAGACCAGATGGCCATGCATTCATCACCAACATTCCATGCTCTGATGGGTGCAGGCTCACTACTGCTCTCTTTGGAGCTTAGACTAGATGTGCTTGTCGCTGAATTGGCTGTGAAGAAAGTTACCATGAAAAAGACTTCAAGTGCACTTGATGACCATTTAGATTTATATATTTTCTTAACCACCACTAAGATTTGAATGAAATATTTTCTTAAGCATCTCAAAGATTTGAATACAATATATCCTTAACCATTATTGAGATCTAAACATTTACTTAACCTTAAATCAACTACATTCTGAGAAGCCATTCAACAAAAAAGGCAGGAATGGACATTAAGTGATTCACTGCTCAGCATCAAATCACAAGTTCTGAAATCTGATACAAAGACTCACAAGTACACAACATTTCTGCTGGTGACATGACCTTGACCTTGTCACACATTACCACAGCCTTCCTAATTCTTGGTACTTAAAAAATTGAGTCTAACAAATAAATACATAATGACACTTTTCTCATTAGTCTCAATGTAGAAACAAATCTTATAAACTTCACATGGGTATAAAGTTCCATTTAATATATTCAACACAAAGAAACTAAGGTATGAACTATTCCAACCTTGTGTATCAATGAGATTTTTTGTGAGCTTTATCACCTCCTGCAGGTCACTCTTCAGCTTCAGCAGTTCAGCATTTGTTGGATCAGAGGTGAGTGCTGCTTCCACCTATAAAATGCAAGACTTATAAATGACAAAATATTAAGATCACTGATTGGTTATTGATTTATTCCAAGTATGTTTGAAGTTGAATTTAAGGGATCCCTGCATTAACTGATTTTTTTAAACCAGGTCCCTGATGGTGGACAACTCGTGCACTGACACCTGACCTTGCAAGACCTATGCCCACTTAATTCACTTGACCTTTCTCTACTGCTCTGGTATATATTGTGTGTTTATTCCATGATCTGTATTGGATTGATAAGGTCCCCAATGATCAAAATGTCCCATAATGAAATGTGCAGTTTGGCATAGGTGACTATTTCCATAGTCTGTCAGTATTGATATAACTACTAAATCTATGCAATAAAGTCACAGTTAATAAAGTAAGATTTAAAAAAAAATCGCGGAACAAAAGTCACAGTTTTAGGTATGGAAAAAAGTTATAGGTTGCTTGTATTATTATTATTATAATCAAAAAGAAGCGCTAAGCCACAAGGGTTATACAGCACTGCAGGTTGCTTGTAGTTAGACAGTGTCAGCAAAACTAATTTAATCAAACTTAAGCTATCCTAACAGAAAGTAATCTAACCTAACTTACACTAACCTAATATAATGTAACCTAATGTAATGTAACCTAACCTAATGTAATATAACCTAATGTAAACCTATTGTAAACTAACCTAATGTAATCTAACTAGGTTAAATTCACTAAATTCGTTTTCCAAATTTTTATCCGTTTTTTTCTGTGATATGTTTCCACCCGTACGAGTCATATCGAGCCTAGAGAATGAGAGTTAGTCAAGCTAAAATTAAGGGAAAGGTAGCTAACATTCCTCGGATCAAGAGCCGTCCATCAGCAGGAAAGCTCCCTTCCTCCGAGGGAAGTGTATAATAAGTTACAATTTACCGAGCCTCCTCAGCAGCAGTGACTGACCCCGATGTCTGTCTCTGCTCGTCCCCGAGGAGGGGCTGCCCACCTTCCCAGTTTCCCCTCCTAACCTCAGAGGTGCACCAGACCTTCTCCACGCCCATGCCGCCCTCCCGACGCCCACAGCATCCTCGTAGACCCACCTGTTCCAGCTGCACAGTATAGGTCTGCAAGCTGAGGTCCTCCGCCATTGTGTTTGTTTACTACTGGAGTGGTAACAGTGGTACTCCCGGGAACCATACAACCTTACTGCTCCCCACAACCACAACCATTACTTCTCATATTTCCTCTATCTACACACATTTTCTGGGCATCACAGCGCCCTTGAAATAATACCAACACTCTCACCTTCCTGTTACTTCCAGGCTATTAGGTGTAAATGACTTTCTGAGGTGTTCAAGCTGGGCCTCCTGGAAAATTTTTTTTAGGCTAGCGACCGCTGAGGGAAATTGAGCTTATTTCTTCTATATACCATCATTCATATATAGCTATTAGTGTAAAAATTAATTATGGTGTATTCTAACGATAATGATCAAATTTTCTAACATCTACCAATTCATAGAATTATCCATTTAGGGATCACAGTGGAATTATGTCACATCCCTTGATTATATTGGGTTAGATTTGGTTAAGTTCTAAACAGTTTTATATAAAACAATTGTAAAAGGTTCAAATAATGTTTGAAGCCTAAACAAAGGTTCCCATTCGTTCATAACACAATTAATTCAGTCATAGCATCCATCCATTCATGAGATTATTATTATTATAATAAAAAAGAAGCGCTAAGCCACAAGGGCTATACAGCATCCATTCATGAGAGATGATACATCTGTAACTTCCTGACAAACAAAACACAAAGAGTAATAGTAAATAGAGTAAAGTTTGAGGTAGCTATGGTGAAAACCTCTGTTCCACAAGACACAGTACTCGCTCCCATCCTATTCCTCATCCTTATAACTGACATAGACAGAGATGTAAGCCATAGCTCCGTGTCTTCCTTTGCGTATGACACCTGGATCACCATGGCAGTGACCTCCATCAAAGACACCGCAAGACTCCAAGCGGACACCAACCAAATCTTCCACAGTGGGCCACTCAAAACAATATCAGGTTCAATGAAGAGAATTTTCAACTACTCAGATATGGAAAACTTGAGGAAATTAAAATTGTATCAGGGTATACAACAAATTCTAACCATGATAAAGCGAAAAAGTAATGTGAAGGACCTGGGAGTGATAATGTCAGAGGATCTCGCCTTCAGAGACAGCAACAATGTATCTACAGCATCTGCTAGGAAAATGATAGGATGGATAATGAGAACCTTCAAAACTAGGGATGCCAAGCCCATGATTCTCTTCAAATCCCTTGTTCTCTCTAGGCTGGTCCGAACCCTTGACTGGTTTCAAACGGATTCGTTGGACAATAAAGCAGACTGTAAAAGGATGGGGTTGTAGGCGCCCTTATCAAACACAGACAATAAATATAAATCAGGAATGTACACGATAAGCTGTCCAATATACAAGTACAGTTAGAAATAGAAATACAAATAGCTAGAGCTTCATTTAAGGAGGTTATTAATAGAGTATTCAAGAGGTTGCTAGTAAAATTACAGTAAATCAACCATTCAAATCATTATGAAGCTCTGTGTAGTCTGCAGTCAATCGAACAAACGGGCTTCCACATGGATAAATTGTCATTTTTGTGGAAACTGGTGTCACGCCCCTTGTGCAGATATCCAAGAACTAGCTACAAGCAGTATTAAAACAGGGAAGTGTTTTTGGGTATGCCCAAATGAGGAAAATCTGTGGACTAAAATCACAAGGGTATTAAAAGAGGATAACATCAAAGCTGCTTTCATAGAAAACCTGGAAGCTTTCTACAACAGATGGGAACATAAAAAGTCTGGGCTGAATGGTACTGCCCTTGATACTGGCCATGTAGTCAGAAATTGTAAGGCTGGAGGTGATGTCCTGGTAGTCAGTAAATGTGGGGCTGATAGTGCTGTCCTGGGAGACAGTAATGGTGAAGCTGGAGGTGCTGTCCTGGGAGACAGTAATGGGGAAGCTGGAGGTGCTGTCCTGGGAGACAGTAATGGTGAAGCTGGAGGTGCTGTCCTGGGAGACAGTAATGGTGAAGCTGGAGGTGCTGTCCTGGGAGACAGTAATGGTGAAGCGGGAGGTGCTGTCCTGGGAGACAGTAATGGTGAAGCTGGAGGTGCTGTCCTGGGAGACAGTAATGGTGAAGCAGGAGGTGCTGTCCTGGAGACAGTAATGGTGAAGCTGGAGATTTTGTCCAGGTAGTCAGGAATTTTACGCAGGAAGGAATACATATAAATGACCTCATAGGGGACAGGAGCCATAGTGGGGAAACAAATGTAGTCAAAGATAAGATAAAACCAATATTGCAAACTAGAAATACCACAGGAAATATCAAACAAGAGGACTCCACTGGCAATAGTGAGGATATATTACCAAAAACAACTGGTGGGAGCTCCATTGTTGGTGCTAGGGAGGATAGGAATAAGACAGGGAAACATGCACCAACAGGGAATACAGTCACAGAAACCCAAGGCAAACGGAAACCAAGCCTGTGCACATACTATGCACTTGGTATCTGCAGGCATGGGAAATCTGGAAAAACAGATGGGACGTGCAACTATGACCACCCTAGAAAATGCCGTGCCCATATGACAACAGGAAAATGCAAACTCCCTTCCTGTAAGCTTTTTTACCCTGAAATGTGTACCTCTTCAGTACAGGAAAGACTGTGCTATAACTTAAATTGCCAGGCACACCATCTAAAGGGGGCAAAAAGATACAAAACATCCAGGCCATGGGAAAACCTGGGTAGCCACAGCCACTCAAGAGGGAGAGGTTTTTTAGTGCCAGGAAGGAAAAAAAACTGGCAAGAAATGGCAGAAATCGTACACCAAATCCAGTCATTCCTGGAGTGGAACCACATATCCGACATAGACAAGGATGTCAGCCACAGCACCGTGTCTTCCTTTGCAGATGACACCCGAATCTGCATGACAGTGTCTTCCATTGCAGACACTGCAAGGCTCCAGGCGGACATCAACCGAATCTTTCAGTAGGCTGCAGAAAACAATATGAAGTTCAACGATGAGAAATTTCAATTACTCAGATATGGTAAACACGAGGAAATTAAATCTTCATCAGAGTACAAAACAAATTCTGGCCACAAAATAGAGCGAAACACCAACATCAAAGACCTGGGAGTGATCATGTCGGAGGATCTCACCTTCAAGGACCATAACATTGTATCAACGCATCTGCTAGAAAAATGACAGGATGGATAATGAGAAAACCCTTCAAAACTAGGGAGTCCAAGCCCATGATGACATTCTTCAGGTCACTTGTTCTATCTAGGCTGGAATATTGCTGCACACTAACAGCACCTTTCAAGGCAGGTGAAATTGCTGACCTGGAAAATGTACAGAGAACCTTCATGGCGCACATAACAAAGATAAAACACCTCAATTACTGGGAGCGCTTGAGGTTCCTAAAACTGTATTCCCTGGAACGCAGGTGGGAGAGATACATGATTATATACACCTGGAAAATCCTAGAGGGACTAGTACCGAACTTGCACACGAAAATCACTCACTACGAAAGCAAAAGACTTGTCAGACGATGCAACGTCCCCCCAATGAAAAGCAGGGGTGTCACTAGCACGTTAAGAGACCATACAATAAGTGTCAGGGGCCCGAGACTGTTCAACTGCCTCCCAGCATACATAAGGGGGATTATCAACAGACCCCTGGCAGTCTTCAAGCTGGCACTGGACAAGCACCTAAAGTCGGTTCCTGACCAGCCGGACTGTGGCTCGTACGTTGGTTTGCGTGCAGCCAGCAGCAACAGCCTGGTTGATCAGGCTCTGATCCACCAGGAGGCCTGGTCACAGACTGGGCAGGGGGGGCGTTGACCCCCGGAACTCTCTCCAGGTAAACTCCAGGTAAACAATCGATGGCCTCCACTCCAAACCAACAGATACAGATACTAATGCCGGAAAAAAAATCCCCCCCAGTACCAACAATACCACCAGTCCGATGACATTCTTCTTTGCAAATATACAGGGTCTAAAGCCAGCAACAAACAACAAAATACCTTTCATCCGTGGACTGCTTGCAGAGCCAAAGGCAATGTTCACGGCTTTCACTGAGACCCACATAAAGGATCACTTGGACAACTAAATATGGATCCCAGGTTACAACCTATACAGATGTGACAGAGTGAACAGGCAAAAGGGGGGGGGTTGGCCTGTACATTGCAGAGTCACTTGTTTGCACAGAACTGCTTAATGCCTCAAATGATGTAGTGGAAGTTTTAGCAGTAAAGGTCGAGAACCAAAACCTAGTCATTGTGGTAGTCTACAAGCCTCCAGATGCAACATCCCAGCAATTCCAGAAACAGCTGTTAAAAATTGACCACTGTCTGGAAAATCTTCCAGCTCCTGCACCCAACATCTTGCTCCTGGGGGATTTCAACTTAAGGCACCTAAAATGGTGGAATATAGCAAATAATATTGTTGCAGTAATAACACCAGGAGGCAGCTCTGATGAAAACTCACACTCACACGAGCTTTTAAATCTCTGTACAAAATTCAATTTAAATCAGCAAATAAGAGACCCTACTAGACTGGAGAATACACAAGACCTCATCTTCACTAACAATGATGATCTGATAAGAAATGTCACCATATCAAAAACAATATACTCAGATCACAACATAATTGAGGTTCAGACATGTATGCGTGGAGCCCCAGACCGACATAATGAGATTAGTCACGAGGGCGCATTCACCAAATTCAACTTCAATAACAAAAACATAAAATGGGACCAAGTAAACCAAGTTCTAACCGATATAAGCTGGGAAGATATACTAAGCAACACAGACCCCAACTTATGCCTAGAACAGATTAACTTGGTGGCACTCGATGCATGCACAAGGCTTATTCCTCTAAGAAAAAGGAGGAGTAGATGTAAAATAGAAAGAGACAGGCGCTCCCTTTACAGGCGACGGAAAAGAATAACAGAGCGGCTAAAAGAGGTCAATATATCTGAAATGCGTAGGGAGACACTGGTCAGAGAAATAGCAAGAATCGAACTTAAGCTAAAGGAATCTTATAGGAGTTAGGAATCGCGGGAAGAACTAAAAGCCATAAATGAAATCGAAAGAAACCCAAAGTATTTCTTCTCCTATGCCAAATCAAAGTTGAGAACAACGTCCAGTATTGGGCCCCTACTTAAACAAGATGGGTCCTACACAGATGACAGCAAG